TGATTCATATTTTTACCTGCGTGCAACGATCGCTTTTGTTCTCGCACAGCTGTAGTTTTTTTTTTCCTAAAGTAATCAACGTTTTCCTTTTTTGCTGTGTTCATATAAAAGTAAAATGGCAGATAATTTAAAAACTTTATTGAAGAAGCGTAGTTCGATAAAATCAAAGCTTACAATTTACAGCAATTATTTAAATTTAATTAAAAGTAGCTCTGATATTTCTGAACTGCAACGTCTAGATTTAGCGGAGCGTTTTAATAAATTCGAAACCTTACATTCCGAATTTGACGAATTACAGACAAACATCGAAGTACTTGCCGATGATGCCGGGTCTGCGTTAGCTGAGCGTGAGGACTTTGACCGTCAGTTCTTCAATCTGGTGGCCATCACGCGCAGCCCGATCCGTGCTTCGTCCAATGGTGCTGGGTCGGAGACGGGTTTCAAAGTTGCTGACACACTGTTCTAATAAGAATAGTTTTGTTCGTTTGCCTAAAATTGATTTGCCTCATTTCGATGGGAACTACCAATGCTGGCTCGAATTTCGAGAAACTCTAGTATCAATGAAATAAACAAGTTCCACTATTTGCGCGCTTCATTGCATGGAAACGCAGCCTTAGTTATTAAAAATATTGATTTTAAAGGCGATTATTATAAAGTTGCGTGGTACATGTTGTGTGAGCGGTATAACAACAATCGCCTTCTTGTGAATAATCTTGTGCAAGCTTTATTTGATGTCGATCCTATAGTCAAGGAGTCAAGTATCTCAATCAGAAACCTCGTAGATACAATTAATAAAAATGTAAGGGCACTAACAAAATTAAATCATTGAAATAATACTAGTTTCTACGGAATTTATCGCGTATATTTAACTTTTAAATACCCGACGTTTCGAACGCTTTACAGCACTCATGGTCACGGGCAGGACTGAGATGTTCAACGTCCATATGTCATAGTTAACCGCGGTTACCATAGATTAAAATTTAACTTTTGTTCCGATCTATGCAGTATGAACTTATGGTATCTTGAAGTCTTGCAGTTGTATGCTTGGGTTGGGATTTAATTTTATTTATTATAGGATCCCAAGCAGATGGTAGCACCCAGCCATCTTCTCTATTGAAATTAGGATGTTTTTTGATTTCAATAGCCTCGCGAATCATCCTTGGAAGGAATCGGTGTTCTTTAGCGAGGATCTGCGGTCTATCAAATCTGATGTAGTAACGGGGGCGATCCTGTACGTGTTCACAGACTGCAGACTTCCCGGATCGTCGATTCTTCACATCAGCTATATGTTCTTTAACGCGGGTTTTTTATTGATCTTTTAGTTTGTCCTATGTAGGAGAGACCACATTCACAATCAAGCTTGTACACTCCTGCATCTTGCAGAGGGACATTACACTTGACCGATGGTAAAAACTGACCAATCTTCTTCAGCGGCTTGAAGTATGTTTTGATGGAAGCGCGCTTCAAGATGTAGCCAATCTTGTCAGTGACTCCTCTAACATATGGCAGTACAGCAGGTACACGCTCGACTGTGGCCGGCTTCACTCGTTCACTGTGACGTAGGCGCGGGACTCGAAGCTTGTTGTCATACAAAACTTGCTTGATATGGTGGAGCTCTGCAGCCAGGTGTTTACTGTCACAGATCCCTCGTGCTCTCTGAAACAAAGATTTACCCACGGTAGCTAACTGTGAAGGATGGTGGTGAGAATCACCGTTTAAATATCTATCTGTATGGGTCTTTTTTCTATACACAGTATGGCTCAAGGTGTTATCAGGATTCCGAATTACTAACATTTCTTAATAACTTTCCACCAACGGCGCCATCTAGTATCGAATAGAAGAATTAAGCTTTCTAGAAGGGTCCACTCTCGAACTTTCTGAACTTAGTCGGTCGGGACCGGTATTTGCTGGAACATTCTGGATTTTTCGGTGGAAAAGGCGTATTTAAAGCCCTTTCAAGCCGCGATCGGGGCAGTATTGAATTTGGCGATACAAGCGAAGCTTCGGAGCGAAATAAAGTGAATCAGTGTGATTAATTATTAGTGTTTTAAGATTTAATTAGTGTTCGGTAATAAAAGTGTAAATTTTGGTAATTCAATCGGCAGTCTTTATTGTCAACTGTTAAGGATTATGGGGATAATTAAAGATATAATACTTTGAACATAAAACATGCTTTTTATTAATCTCAAAACAACAACATGGAGAGCCTATAACATCATTTTGAATCTTCCTTCATAACCACAACGAACCCGAACGGGTTCCCGCCTTGTCGTGGCGGGGGGGGGGGGGGGCTTAGTAGCCGTGGCTTGGCCTCCCACGGTGAACAAAGAGGAACCCACGTGGCTGGCCCGAGGTGAAGGGCCGGCCTGAGGTGGCCACTCCGAGTGAGCTTGGGGAGCACAGCAGCACACACCTATACAACTCTGCATTTATGCTCTAAAGAGTAATCAACCGTACAATCATAAAGATTAACATTAACTTCCATGGGTACCAAACTTTGTCAATATAGATTTTAAATACTCTTTCTGGTTAATATACAAACAGTCACTATCTTGAATAATATTAATACCCAGATATTTTAAATTTTTAGATCCTAAATGTTTCATTTTAAATTCTGTGCTTAAAATTTCTTTAACATTATTTATCCTTGAATTGTCCTCACCTAAAATTAATAAATCATCCACATACAACAAAATGTAAATACCATCCTTAAAATATAAACAATAATCACTTTTTGCTCTTTGAAACTCTTTACCGTTCATAAAATCATAAAATTTATTGTACCAATTTTTTGAAGATTTTTTAAGACCGTAAAGTAATTTTTCAACTTCAAGACATAATTTGTATTTATATTTACACCAGGTGGGGGCTTTAAGTATACAACATCATCAATTTCACCATGAAGGAAAGCACCTTTAACATCCATTTGATGAATTAAATAGTTCCTTTAACAGCTAATGATAAAAGAACTCGGAGAGTTTGTAATTTCAAAACAGGAGAATAAATTTCGGTAAAACTACCTTCCTGTTGAAACCCCCCTTGCAACTAATCTAGCTTTATATACATTACCCGCCTTTTTTTGTAAAAATCCATCTACAATCAATTAACTTAGCATGGTTTGGTCTTTCTACAACTTCCCAAGTCTTGCTATCCTCTAAAGATTTAATTTCTTCATTTACCGCTTCATACCACATATCTTTATCGTCATAAGAATCTATATCATTATATTTTTATGGGACATTACCATTAGAACAAGATAAAAATGATGCCATTAATATATCACCTAAATCTGAATCATCAGTGACAAAATCTTGTAAATATTTTGGTTTAGTTTTCTTTCTTTTCTCCCTAGAATTAACATTATCTGTATCCCTTCCCTCAGGTTGTAATGACTCTAAATTATTATCAGAAGTTAAAATTTTCACAGTACCATGGGTTTGGGTTTTATCAGAAATTAAAGGGGTTTTGGTTTTCTCAGGAATACTACCACCATCCTTCTCCTTCCCATCCGAGATAGACTCCACGTCAATACTAATCGTTTCAGGGGACTCTGAACATGTTTCTTCCCTAAACAATACGTTTCGTTCTATGCGTATCCTCCTTTCATTAGCATTCCATAATCTGTAACCCCCCGGAGCATACCCAACCATTTTCAATTTCACACCACGAGGGTCCAACTTCGGAGGATTCGGAGTTTTTGGGGAATATGGGCATATGCAGATGACCCAAATATTCTAAAATTAGACACATTACGATGTCTTCCCTCCCACATTTCAAACGGTGTAACATTAAGGGAAGCAGTGGGACTACGATTAGTGACATATACCGCATATCGCAGGGCCTCGCCCCAAAGCTCTTTAGGAAGCTGTGAATCTAATAATAATGCACGCGCCTTTTCAGTCAGAGTACGATTCATTCTTTCAGCTACTCCGTTCATTTCGGGATTATATGCAGCAGTATACTGCAATACTATGCCTTTTTCATCACAAAAGGATTTAAAATTTCTAGAAATATACTAACCAACATTATCTGATTTTAACTTCAATATACAATGACCAAAATGATTACTAGCATAATTATAATAAGTCTTAAAATATTCAAAAACCTCAGACTTGTCTCTTAATAAGTAAACTGCGGTGAAGTGGGTAAAATCGTCTATGAAAGTAACAAAGTGTTTATACCCGTCCCACGTAGAAGGGCTAACAGAACAAATATCGGTATGTACTAGTTCTAAGGATTTCCTAACCTTATACATTTTCCCATTAAAAGGAAGGCGTGTAATCTTAGCATATATGCATGGTTCACAATGCCTATTTTCTAATTTTTTTCTTTCAAATCAGTTAAACCATCAACCATATTTTTATTTACTAAAGTTTTCAAACTACTATAGCTTAAGTGAGAAAATCGTTTGTGCCAAATTTCTGCTGAATTATCATTGTTGTCTAATTTTGCACCATAATAACAATCATTAAATATTACTTTAAATTCTACAAAATAAAGGGACCCTAGTTTATGCCCTACCATAAGCAATTCATTGGTTTGTGAGGAAACTTTAACTTCCCCTTTATTGAAGATGATCTTTAAACCATGCTTTTCCATTTTGGAAACAGATAATAATTTTTTTTTAATTGTGGTACATAATACACATCATTTAATATAATATCAACTTTAAAATCACTTAAATAACATTTTATTGTTCCTACACCAACAGCTTCTAAATCAACGCCATTTTTGGCAGCTGAAATTTTAATTGGCTTATCCAGTTTACAATAATTAAAGAATAAACTAATGTCATTTACAAGATGAAATGAACTACCTGAGTCAACAACCCATTTAAAACTATTTTTATTCTTCCGTTCGGTGTCAGGGCTAAATGACATAAAACTTAAAAATTTGTTACCTTCAGTATTTTCAGTGCCTGTAAGAAATTACTTTCCTTTACCTCTCCCCTGGGTCTGATGACGAGTTCCCTTACTGTCGTCTCAGCCTCCGTTGTACTTTCAGTCGCTACGTCTACGGCCGTGAAGTCTCCAGTCGCCAGTCCTGTGTCGTGCCTGCTGAGTGCTCCTACACTGGGATTTTTTGTGTCCGGGGCGTCCACATCCATAACACAAGAAGATTGAAGAATCAAGGGATTTGGTCGCTCCTCTGTTCCGTTTTTCCTCTTCCCCAAGCAGTCTGTTTTTCACGAAGTCCATTTTCAATTCCTCCACAGTTTCCAAAGCCGTGATAATGCCTTCATAAGATTTCGGCATGGATAGGAGTAAATAGTTAACCTTTTCTTCCTCCGAGAGCTCACTGCCAGCATCCCTAAGCTGTGCAAATAGCTTTTCCATGTCAATAAAATGTTCCATTAAACGTTTCCGTTCGTCGAATTTCATATCGGACAACTCTCTTCTTATAAATAATTTAGATCGTGTACCTTTCTTCTTAAAGCTGTCTTCCATGCTTTTAATCATTTGATAAGCAGATCTGTCCTTTAAGTATTCGAGGTGACTGTCGGCGGTTGCCGCTATTATAATAGCCTGGGCCTTAGCTTCCAATTGCAATTGCTTGTTATCCGTAGATTTACTGAAATCCTCCTTTTCGATCACCTCTATTCCTCCATTATTCCGCAGGATACTTTTTAATCGAAACTCTCACGCGTTGTAATTGTCCCCCGCGAAAGGGACAATTTTATATTTTTCTTTTGACATTTTCTGTCCTTTAACACTTATTAATCCACTATAAAACTGATGGCCGTACTGGGCCCATAACCCTGTTAAGGATTATGGGGATAACCGACGCAGTGCTGCCATTAAAAGACAATATTATAGAAATCATTGTTAATTAACATCAACAACATTCTTTATTGTAACAATAACAATATAATCGATTACTAACCTACATCGATTAACAATCGATTTTTGTGTAACAATTAAAATATTTATGTGTACTTATTTCAACACTAAGGTTCATAAATAATGAAAAATACATCAAAATGATTATAATAAATTCAAAGATTACATAAAAATTAAACACCAAAAATTTTCCACCCAATGAACTCCATCCTAAGAAAACTTGTATAATGGAAGATCAAGATCAATTAGACGCTATACTTAGAGTATCATAGTTCGAGCGATTAAATAGATATGAAATAAAGTATCGCTCGCGTAGGTCGTCGCCCGCACGGTTTGTGAAATACCTAAATTTGCGTAACGCCGTAATGTACGAGGGTTCTTAACTAGGCTTAGTACTTGCAGAAAAGTTTCTTAAATTAAAACATTTGAAGTATCGTTACAAAATACAAATTACAAACTTAAACTTTAATATACTATATTTTCACTGTACATATAATTCTCTGAATTAAAACTAACGTACGAAATTCATAAAAATATTGTAAATAAATGCACGAACGCAACGTCAAAGGAGAATGACCAAAAGTAGTACCAAAAAGTCTCGCGCCTCATGACTAATAATAAATAGTAATAAGTGTCATAATTTTTCACGCCATTACGCGTCCGGGGCATGGAGTATAGAGGTAAGGAGGACAATCTCCCGTAGGAGAATAGTTGAAAATGTCTCCATCTGTAAGCAGTAAATAACAGTTCAAAACTCTCCACAACAGCGCTCGAGTAGCTACAGGGTATGATAAATCGCCGTAAAATCATTGATTTCAAAAGGAAGGCCCATCTAAAAATTTTAGTCTTAACTTTTTCATACAAGATTAGCGCAAAATTAGCGCATCTGTCATAATACAACTGACGACGACGACGTAACCAGTGTCGGATTTCGTGGTATAATTATCCTAATTGTATCATTATTTCATAGTTTGTAGTATATAGTATCGTATTAATACTAAGCGAAAAAAAACAAAATTTTACCTAAAGGTCGACTTGTATTATTATTGGGTCCTTTTACTTTTTAATATTAACCATACGATATTGAGAATTTCTGTATTGTACAAGAGTACCGCGTTTTTTAATAAAATTAGAATTAGCTCCCTTTTTGGTCAATCGGTACTCGATCGATGCATTTATGTTGCATCCTTTATACAACTATAATGAGTGGCTACCACGATAAAAACTCTATGCTCCTGAAGCAATCGGTTTGAAAACAGAATTTCAAAATATTCTATGAATTAGAGTTTCAGATTCTATTAAGCAAATATGATTTATTTTGTACTCTTTTCGTTTTACCCTTATTGAATATAAAATATATTAGGTACCAATATTCAAAATTTAACTTACACTAAGTTCTTGAGACAAAAATTAAACAGAAATAAAACCGTTAAAAAACGAAACGTATAGATAAACTAGACGCGTGACGCACTTTTTTATACAGAGTCTGTACTCCTCAACTCTACACTCCATAGACCGGGGATTTGATTTTTTGAATAGGGTTTTTTTTTTGAGTTTATAAGTATGAATCTTAGATTAATTTCATACATAAGTATGCTTAGAGAGAACCTATAATTCTACATAAATTGAGTCAATATACTTGTCTTGCTTTTTCTAATTTAATTTTCAAATAAGTCAAAAAGTGACAAATCTGTTAAAAGATGTTGCGTATAATTCAAGTTAAAGAAGTTCAAAGTTCAAGTTAAAGAAATGTCAAGTGGTCATCTTTAGTCTATTTTTACACTACTAAATAATTTATATATTAACTATAACTAATTAAAATAAAAAAACTTCTTCATATATTTTTGGTTTATGACAGGGTCAAGAAGGGCCTCACTTAGCTCTACTCGAAATCGAGACAAAAAATTGAGATGTTTACAAAAAAAATACACATTATTAAATCAAATTTAGACAAAACCAATTATTATTACGTATGCAGATATATATGTTATATATTACCCTTAGATATGTTACCCACTCATAGTATTGGCAATATGTATAAACGTCAGGCAAATGTCCAAGTTTAAGTCACGCATCCAATGGCGCGGCTATATTATGTTGCTATGACTCGTAATTCTTACTAATTTTAGTGGATTACGTTGTTTTTAAAGCAATAATGTTCGTCCATGTTTAACGTGTCTATTTAAAATAGGTCGTTGGTAGCGTCGAAAAAAAATCTAAAATAACCTAAATACTACGTCTATTTTTAAAATGACTTCAAAACCCGGGATTTTATTTTCAAAAAAGACTTCTGTAAGAGTTAATATAATCAATGTAGTCTATAAAAACAAAGTTTGATTTTGAGGCAACATGGTACGGGATTCCATACACTTTGAGCATTCTCCTTTAGTAATTTTATAGATAATATCATAAAGAACGGCACTCGCCACCAAGGTCAAGCACGTAAATGTTGCGTTTTGAAAAATGTTCCAATTCAAAACCTCCATCCAAAACATAAACAAACTTAACTAAATATAATAAGGTCATAAAATCAAAGCCTTTTGATCTAAAGATAATTCAAAATTTGATAACTCTTTTAGTTACACAAACTTAATATCAACCATTCAAAATTCGACCTTATTGCCTATATTGGGATTTATATATCGCGATGTGCACCGTTGTGCAATTACTACAAAAACATCGCATAGAAATCCATATTTATTTCATCTCTTTCTATATTTTTTTATGGGGTCGTTGCAAGAACGACAAGCAACGAATATCAACGGTTAGTTCGTGAGCCCCTACAACCGCTACAACAGCGGTCAGCCACCGTAGAGTCTACATCACCTGAAGATGCCTCGTGTAGAGGCGAAACACGTGTCGTATTATCGTCGATGGTGTGTCTATCCTAGAATAGTGGTGTTGGGAGTAGTTGTAGTGGGAGTAGTGGTTTTGGAGTAGTGGTGTTGGGAGTAGTGGTGTTGGGGCCAATTGAGGCAGGGCGGAGTGGTGTTGATGCTGTATTATTAAGCGGATGGTAGCAAAGTAACTATTAATATCTTTACATACTTTATAATAAATAATAGCTCTATTACGTTTACATTTTATACTATTTTTATCAACAAAGTTAACTATTCGCTGTATAAGTATAACTTACTAGATATCCTTCACTTTGTTTGAATTAATCGACATCAAAAACAAATCGAGCGTATCACTAATAAGTGAGGTCATTAAAGCCCTCATATTTCTCTATTTGTTATTTGTCAAATATGGCTGATTTTCTTGTGTTGGTTCATTTCAATACCAAATAAAATTAATTTTTCATTATATTTTCTCCAAAGCTGGCAAATTTGTGAACTATTATTATGAAAAAACTATAGATATCAGGTTATAAAATTACTAGCGGAATGAGTAATTCTGGGGATTATACTTTTTGGAAGAGATACATCCTGGTAAAGAACAAAAAACTATCGTATTTTACACATATATTAACTAGTAATCATTTAAGTTCACTTATGAAATTGCTAAAATGTATACGCGCACAATGTACCGGGCCGTGATGTACTGGTAGCTAATATGTGTTTAGTCTCGCTGACTCCTTCACTCGCTTTCTCTTACGTCTACCTCAGCTCGAGATGCTTTGAAGAATTTTCTTTCCGCATCGAAGATTGATCCGTAAGATCATATAAATAAGGAATGCAATCGCAGTTCTTAAAATGGTAAACTTACAAGCCTTGTTGGAAGAAAAATAGTTACACAGATCAATCATCAAATAACTAGCACAGTCGCGTTTACAAAAAAACTTCCAAACCTTTAAAAGTTCCAACTTTCAAGCCTTGTTGGAAGAAAAAATACTTGCATAGAACATTGATCCGTAAGTCAATATAAATAAAAAGCAGAATTACGTTTACAAAAAAAGAAACTTCCAAACCTTTAAACTAAATATACCTTGATAGAACATTGATCCGTAGCAGAATATAAATAAGGTGCAGAATCACGTCGACTGTCGTCAGAGCGAGAATATTCAAATACTTTTAAGTCTTGCTAGTATTTTGGGTCGGCACTTGGTCGGCGTACTTATAAGTAAATACCTAGTATAAAAACGGATAAATGCCTTCCCTAATTCTTTTGGTTTTTGGGATTTGGCTACGAATTGTCACTCCTGTTTGGTCGCTTGAATAATGGTTTGAAGTGGATTGTGATTCGTAAAAGTTCTGCGATTTTCTGAATTAAGTGTCTGCGCGTGTGAAATATTAGAGAAAACTACGAAACAGTTGCTTTGGTGTTGATAAACCCCAAGTGGATTTGATCGCTTGGGTGCCTTATTTACTTGGGTGGCTGTCGTCATCAACTGTCCGCTTGGTTGAGCTGTCACAAAATCTCCCAAAAATTTTGTTGTTCAATGTGATGCATCAGTATGTTGTGAAGAAAAAATATATAAAAATGAAGATTCCGAAAGAAATGATATGCTCAGAAGGGCTAGAACCCAGAGCTGTAAAGCTCAAACAACTTTATAATTTGTGCTCTATACTCTATAATCTATGATCAAAATACGAGAACAAGAGATAGTACATTCGATAAACCTTCAGTTTTGTATTTATATATTTTTCCATAATTTATTCAGTTGTAAAATAAGTTTTATAATTAAAAATGCCTGACCATTTGGGAGATGATATGAGAAAAGTGAAAGATGACAAAGAAGAACCAGAAAAGGAAATAAAATGTATCAAACTTGGTTTCCCCAGTCATAACCCACATTACTTAAACATTGCAGTTTTTGTGTTTAATAAACTATTTCTTTACAATTTCAGCTCTTGATGAGGGGGATATTGCACTCTTAAAATCATACGTACGTATAAATTTTACTAATTATAACGTCCAAAAATTTTTCATACACAATGACTGGCATTTTCTTCTCATAAGTAAATTCATAAATTCATGTTTAGATAAACACCGCGTTTGGAATTAAAAGCGACATTCTTTTGTTTCATATTTTAGGGACAAGGCCAATATACTAAGATAATCAAGGAAGTGGAAGATGGCATACAAACAGTTATGAAGAGAGTTAATGAACTCACAGGTATCAAGGAATCAGATACAGGACTGGCTCCTCCAGCATTGTGGGATCTTGCTGCTGATAAACAGACATTGCAAAATGAACAACCGTTACAAGTAGGCATCCATACTATTTTGTATAAACTATTATCTTTTTCGGGTATCTCTTTAGTGTTCTTGTCTGGTTGGGATATATAAAATACTTATTAAAATATGAAAAGATTGTAGATTGAGTCATGAACAGAGTAAATGGGGCTCTACATTTTTTTTCCTAGTTTGACTACTATCAATGAATTCTTTCAGCGTCAAGTGTTTCATGAAAGTCACACAGTGTGTTAGACAAATTTCCATTTCTGTAGTTAGGCTTACCTAATTATATGTTACAAAGTCCATAGTTATTTTCAGATGAATTAACATAGATAGTTTTACATAATTATTGTTAATATAATAAAATGGATGTAAGTGGCAAAAGTTCTATAATATCTTATTCTATAATGAATATGAAGTTTAATAAAGTTTGTACAAAAGGAGTGTCAACTAAATTTTTTAACAGACTTAAGATTTATAGGACTGCAATGTTATTAGGAAGGAAGTTATTTGGGGTATCTTCAGTCATAAATTGGTGCCATACTGGTGATTCATTGTGTCGAATATGGTGAAATTTAGCGTCAATTAATGACAACATTTGCATTCGCCAGTATACCGGAAACATTTAGGAACATACCCATAATGAGGCTCTATGTTCTATTATGGGAAGGATGTATGTGTCAAAAAAGACATTTATTGCAAATTGAAATGCTGTGTTAGTCCCTACTTAATTGTATGGTCTTGTAAGTTAGGTATGGCAAGAGTTGTTAAGATGTTTGGGGAATAAAAGAAATGAAATAAACTGTCTTTTAAGCCATGAGCAATTTGGTCTATGACAACCTGCAAGGGGTCTACGTCAGCGAAAAAAATTTGGGGGTCCATGAAATGAAAATGGGGGTCCATGATAGTGGATCTCAACACATACACTGATAGTACCTATTTACTTACATAATACTATCTTATAATATCAAAACATATACATTATTTATAAAAGTACTATGAAGTAAAAAATTTATTATATATGTTTATAAAATTGTGTAAGTTGTAGGATGTTGGTATTCGCTTTGTGGTCGCAATACATTTTGAACTTGAAAAACCTGAGAGTCGCAGTCTCAGAGCTTCGCTACCTTGCACTGACTTGTTCAATTCGTCACTCTATAAATACGAATGTGGGACAAATACGTTTATTAGTTTCCTGAATCTTGAAAAGGTAAGTGCTATGAAAATATTTTAAAAAGTATAAACAGATAGTATATCACACAAATTATAGTGAGTCAGTGTTACTTTGTTTGAGAGTGCTGGAGAAAAGTAAGTATATTATTTTTTATTAAATTTTAGTTTTGTACTCGTAGTTAGCAAAGATAGATAAATTACGCCAATCATGACTTTAGTTATTAGTAGTTTAATATTCAATCATGCAAAATTACACGAGTACTCCTCAATAGTTTCTTTTTGAAAGTTTTAGCAATCGGTATTATAATTACAGTGCAATCTCCGTAATTCGAGCTAATTGTAGCAAGAATATGTTCTAATTACGGAATGTTTTCGGAAAAATCAAAAAATATTTTTAATATACAGCTGCTGGATTTTCTGTCTTATTTAAATAATTTAATTTTGCCCACAGATGACTGATGCCATGTCCGAATCTAACAAGAAATGTAGACAGTACAGTGTCAATTATTTGAAATTTGGCTTCATTCCATCATTGCCAGACAAACAATTGCCTATGTGCCTTTTATGCAACAAAGTTTTGGGCAATGATGCTATGAAACCATCTAAACTGCAAGATCATCTGAGAAAATGCCACCCTGATAAAACAGAGAAAGATTTGAAATACTTTCAAACACTCAAAGATAAATTTCAGAAGAGACCTACACTGGACAGAATGTTCGCTTCGACGTCACAAAGAAATGATGATGGTTTGCGGGCGTGTTACAATATCTCGTTACTTATAACAAAATCTGGAAAACCGCATACTATCGGAGAGAAGTTAATTTTGCCAGCCGTTGAAGAGGTTTTAAAAACTGTTTTACACAAACCTGCATCTGATATCACTAAAAGAATTCCCTTAAGCAACAATACTGTTGAAAGACGTATTGATGAAATGAGTTCTGATATTGAAAGCTTCGTATGTAATTATTTACAAATGACTCACTTCTCTATACAACTGGACGAGTCAACTTTACCTGATAATGCAGCATTATTATTGGCATATATTCATTTTATTATGAATCAAGAAATCTACGAAGAACTGCTCTTTGCAAGAACTTTGATAACCGACACTAAAGGTGAATCAATATTTCATGTTTTGAATAATTACTTCATTGAAAAAGCAATTCCTTTATCAAATATAATATCAGAAGCTACAGATGGAGCACCTGCCATGGTTGGATGTTATCGTGGATTTATAAGCTATTTAAAACAAAATGTGTCAGGAGGTGTTAGCAATACATTGCGTCATCCATCGACAACATTTAGTTGCAAAAAATTTGAGTGTTAGATTGCATGAATCACTTCATTTAGTCATTGATGCAGTAAACCGAATCCGAAGCAACGCGTTGAATACGCGGTTATTTGCGCAGTTGTGTAAAGAAAATGACGAACACTTTCATCAATTATTCCTTCACACTGAAGTACGCTGGCTGTCGAAAGGCTTATGTTTGACAAGATTTTTTTGCACTTTTTGAGACTATTTTAGAATTTCTGGATACTAAAGATAAAATTTTAAAAGAAAATTTAATGAAGAGGAAAACAGACATCGTCTATTTAACAGATTTGTTTACAAAATTTAATATGGTTAATTTGCAATTACAAGGCGACAGTTTAAATTTGATTAAAAAAAAAGTCCATCTTATCAGCGTTTCTTGCCAGAGTTAAACTAATGAAGCAAAATATTGGACGGGGCGAATTATCTCAGTTCCCCAATTTATCATAGACAAGCTGCCAGGAAGACGACGTTTCAACTTACGTTCAACATTTAAATGCCCTCTATTCAGATTTTCAATCTAGGTTTGAGGATATTTTTACTATGGTAATACTACCGTGGATAATTAATCCATATTCAGAAACTCAATACAAGAGGAACTGACTGAACTAAGTACAAACGAAGAACTTAAGTTTCAGTTTAAAAACGGATATCAGCAATTCTGGCTGCAAAACAACATACCCGTTACTTATCCCGTATTATGGAATATAGCGAGGAAATTTTTAATTTCCTTTCCATCGTCATACCTAGTGGAAAGGGGGTTCAGCGCTGTTACCAATCTCCTAACGAAAAAAAAAAACAGACGACATCATTAGCCGAGGAGATTTAAGATTAACCCTTACAAAATTGACGCCAAATGTTGATAATTTATTGTTAAAGCATCAGGTTCATCCTACTCACTAAAAATATTGATTTATTGCTTATGTTATTTTATTTATAGTTTATTTTATGTTTATTTAATGCTACATATATTTTACATAACAGATACAAAACTTTATTTTGAGTAGTTTTAATTTAAATTCAATTAATAAATGTATAAATTAACATGTGTTTTTGCTTTAAGTTTTTAACACTAAACTTCACTACAGTTAGAAATTTCCAGGAATCAATATGAGATAAGTAGGGTGTCTACCCAACACGGAAAAACATGGCAAGGGGTCTATGACACAAAAAAGTTTCCAAAATCCAAAGTCCAAAAATCCATGGCACTAAAGGTTCACCAATAAAATGTAATTTTTTGATATATGCTGCCTTAAATGTGATGTGAGGTGTACTGAAAGCTTTGCGTAACTTATATAAAACTATTAATGTAAACTAATATTATATTACTGCTTTTCAAGGTATTCTCCATTACATCTTAAACATTATTTTATTAATTCAAACCATTTTTGAAAGTATAAAGACTATTAGTGGAGGGTTTGTTTTTAATGTGCTGGTTGAAATCAATCACAGCTTCTTCTGGCTCCATAAATGTCAGAAACCAAAAATGACTTTGTCTTGTTTGCTGCGTTTTTATGCATTTTCATGGTGCAATGGGATGAAACTTTTTTGGCCACTATTCCCTTGGTTTTGCAAAGATGCAAACAAATACAGCTTAAACTCTATGTAGCGAAATTGAAGGGACTGGCCATTTTATTGCATCATAAAGAGTTTTCTTTAAATGGAGAGTAAAAGAAAACAATATAATTTTACAAATAAGTGGTTTTAATTTTTACTAAATTAAGTGATTTTTTTTTTATATATTATACAATTAATATGCAATCATTTTAGTTAATCAGTCTCTTTTTTCTGTTCACAATGACATGATGTTTCTTTCTTTTCAATATTTTAACCCTTCTTTGCATGATGATGGAAATTTTAATCATAATATTTAGTCAACAAAAAATGGTACTCAAAACCCTTGTACTGTAAATTTGTTGTTGCTGGCAACTTTTAAGCGACTATAGCGTACAACAAAACGCAGTTGTCAAAAAATAGTAAACGTCACTGTCAATTACCAGGCTTAGAACTTGTCATTCCGCTGTTTGTTGTGACTGGAAGAAACAAGTGATATTTTAAATTGTTTTAAGGAAATAAATGGAGATATAAAATACAAGAAAAGTGAACATGAGTGGAAAAAAGGTTTGTTTTCATGTTTTTGTTATTTTATGTACAATTTATATCAAAACACTGTGAATACATTTCTCAAAACTATGTGACGGTAATTTACATCACTGTCACTGTGCAGTAACTTCACTTGTAATGTATGGCAATTTTTTTGTAAATGTTTATTTTATGTTGTTTTTTAGGGAAACTTGAATGAAAGAGATATTGAAGATTATCTTAGTAAGTTAGAAGGCGGTTGGCTCTCAGAAAATGGCCTTGAATACCAAGATTCCGATGATGAAAACCGCGATGCTAATGAAGTTATAAGAGTGTTGCAGGAGGAGAACGACGATGATGATGATGTGGATGAAACTGCTGACATTGATCCTCCTCTTGTAGAAACAGAAGATCAAGAATCCTCTTACCCATCAACATCATCCAATTTGCAGTCTTCATCCAGTTTTCCATTTGACAAAAGAAGCTTGATTTGGAAAAAAGGAATCTGGTGTATGATACAGATAAAATTACTTTCTTGGGGAGTTCTACTGCTTCAGGCGGTCTATCACACCTAGAAACTCCATATCAATGTTTTAACCATTTTATCACTGAAGATTTTATCAAAACATTAGTAGAGGAGACAAATTTATATATAATACAGAGTAATCCCAGTTCATCTATAACATTTACAGAATATGATTTGTATAAGTTCTTTGGTATATTATTATACTTATACATGTCAGTAATCAAATTTCCTAGCAGAAGATCATACTGGTCGCCCAAGTTTGGATATGAGCCCATTTCTTCAACAATGCCACTAAACAAGTTTGAGAAAATAAAGTTATCATTACATTTTAATAACAATTTTCTTCACAAACCTATAGGTCATCCAGAACTTGACAGGCTTTATAAAATCCGCCCTGTTATCAAGCATCTCAATGAGAGGTTTGCCACAGTGCCAATGAATCAAAGACTTTCTGTGGATGAACAGATGTGTTCTACCAAAATAGGGCATTTTTTAAAACAGTATCTGCCTAAGAAGCCCCATAAATGGGGCTTCAAATTGTATGTTCTCTGTGATTTGATGGGATATGCCCACAAGTTTGAGGTATATTCTGGACAAGAGAATACAGAGAAACTACCCCAGATCTTGGTGCAACAGGAAATGTTGTAGTTCGTTTGCTTCGAGGAGTGCCAAGACACCGAAACCACATCATATACTTTGATAATTTTTATACCTCGTTGCCATTGGTAGTTTTTTTAGCTAAATCAGGAATTCACACAGTGGGAACTGTGCAACAAAACAGGATACCAAATAATAAACTTCCAGAGAAGAAAAATTTCGTGAAAAAATCTGTGCCCAGAGGTAGTTTTGAGGAGAGTGTCTGTGCATGATGGTATAGATTTGAGTTGTGTGAATTGGAAAGATAATAAGATAGTAACCCTGTTATCTTCTTATCCTGGAGCATTGCCTGTAACTAAAGTCAATAGATTTGACAGGACAACAAAAGAAAAAATTGATATTACTTGCCCGTTTATTGTCCAAGAGTACAATAAACATATGGGAGGAGTAGATCTCATGGATAGCTTTTTGGGCAGAAATCATATAAAAATGAGGTCTAAAAATTGGTTGTTGCGTATTTTTTTCATCTATTTGATCTAGCTATTATAAACTCTTGGATTATTTATAAAAAAAATGCTCAAGAAAGAGGTGAACCTAAAAAGAGTCTGCTTACAATGGGCCAATTCAGAAATGAATTGGCTTTTGTGCTATGCAACAGAGGAACCACCAAAGAAGCTAAAAGAGGGCGTCCTAGTACCAGTTTACTAGAAGAAGAACTACAATAAAAAAAAAGAAAAGGTTCTCCAGCTCCACCACCTCCAAAATACATAAGAAAAGATGGTGCTGAACATTGGCCAAAAGTAGGTGGGTCACTCCGGTGCAAATTTCCCAAATGTAAAGGCTATTCCACAATTTCGTGTATTAAATGTGGCGTCAATTTGTGCTTAAATAAAAATAATAATTGTTTTTTTAAATTATCATAAAGAATAAAGAAGATTGAGTAAACAATATTTTTTTTATTTATTTAGTACTGAGCTAAAATATGTGACAATGCATGATGATGTAAATTTCCATCATATTGTTTTTTACATAATACATATTTTTATTTACACTAGGATTTTTTTAAATATTCCCTTTTCCTTCCCTTTAATCTATTAATTACATCACCCTGATTTATTTAAAAAAAAAATTAAGAAATCATGCAAAGAAGGGTTAAAGCTGAAAATTAGTTATCAAGGAAAACTATATTTTAAGGATAAGTTTGTGCCTCTGTATTATTTGGTGACACTGGTAAATCCTTGTGATGGTAAAACTTTTTTAATTACTGACGTTTCAAGCACTTTACGGCCCGATGTTATAATTAAGGAAAGCTACCTTCAACTTATAATTATTAATTTATGGTCTGATCTACGCAAGACGAGCTTACAGTGTCTAGAAGTCTTGCAGTAGTAGGCTTGAGTTTGGATTTAATTTTATTAATTATGGGATTCCAAGCAGATGGTAGCACCCACCTAGCCATCTTCTCTATTGAAATTGGATGTTTTAAATTTAAGATGTTCAATCGCTTAAATTGGTTTTTATCTTAAATTGTCCTAAGTTGTGAAATTTGCCAAACGTTAGTCATGCAATGATCAGCCAAATTACAAATTCATAGAAATAATGTTATTTGTTTATAAGGTGGCAAGATGTACAAAGATTATTAATGCAGATTCAAATGACCCGAAGTACATTATAAATGTAAAGCAGTTTGCCAAGTTTGTTGTTGACTTAGCAGATTCTGTAGCACCTACTGATATTGAAGAGGGTATGCGAGTGGGGTGAGTACTTTATAAAACTATTATGTATAAAAATTTGTTTAATTACCATTGACAAAGGTAGGAGGAATGCTGTGAGATGAAAGCTGCTTTTTGTAATTTATTTTATATATCATTTTTTATTTTATTTTATTCACCAACTGATTCTATTTTTTATAATATTCCAATATTACCTAAATAGGTATGTGGGGCGTGCATCATTAATAGACCTGGAAATGTTATATTTATTAGGTTGGGAGTTGAGAATGAAAGTTGTTTAAAGATTTACAAATTTCTGATAAAAATTCCCTAAATTATTATGTTCAATTCTTTTCACTCCGTACAACAAGTTTTAACACTGAGGTATTAAGTTGAACAACAAATAATTAAAGAATCATCCATAAAACACTTACACAGGATTGAGGGAGCAATTGTATATAAGCTATTATTTGTGATATTTACCTTATAAAGACAATTTGATTTAAATAACCCTTTATTGACTGGTGGGTTGAGTTGAGATCCCGAGTAGTGGCGGTGTGAGAATACTACACCATATCATCCCGTGGGTGAGATAGGCATCAGCGTCTTCCTAATAATGACTAATAATAAAAAACTGCGGTAGCCAACCAGCTTGCCAAGCATGGCAACTATGGCGAATATCCCCCGTGTGAGGCAATCTATGAAGGAGGCATATGTTGGACTTTAATAGGTTGTAATGAGTTGAGTAAGATTTTTATACTGATATAATTATGGCTGCTGCTGGTCTTCTGGGTTACCTGACTCATAGATAGACAGTAGAGTCCAAGAGGGAGGCGTTAGCCGTTAATTTGAACATAGCGAAGGCCTTCGATCGAGTTTGGCACAAAGCGCTTCTTTCAAAGCTTCCTTCCGGCTTTCTGAGAAATTGTGTAATTGGATCACCAATTTTCTTGATTATCCGAGCACCAATGTCGTAGTACACAGTGCATGCTCCGGTACAAGCCCATTAACGCTGGTATTCCACAAGGCTGCGTGCTATCACCAATGCTGTTTCTTCTGCATATCAATGATATGTTGCAAAGCAATAAATAACATTTATTGCTATGCGGACTGTCGTCCTGGTTAGCGTTGCCAGGCGTCCGGAGCCGAAACAAAACCGGAAAAGCCGGACACAGTCAGGCTTTTTGGTTGCGTCTCCGGCCAAATTAGATGGTGTTCGGCCATTTTTTAAAATTTTTCATGTACTTATATATATTATATTGAATGATTAATAATAAAGAAGACTAGTTTATTCAATTTTATTGTTATTTCATTAGAATGTAAGATTTTATGGTAAATAATAAAAAGCATTGTTTTACTTTAAAAAACATTGGCATGTTGTACTAAGACTAAAAAGTTAAGGGTGTCCAGCCTTTTTATCAAAATTTCCGGCTAAGCTCGCTGGTCTGCCCGGCTTTTCGGTTTTAAGATGGCAACCCTAGTCCTGGTGATGCTTTATACATCGGCTGTGCCAATATTTCTCGGGAAAACGTCACCGAGTAACGGAACAAACTTGTGTCTGAAGTCAAGACATTGTTCAACAAAGTCTCGGATTGGGGGCGACTAAATCTAGTCCAGTTTAAACCCCTTAAGACACAAATTTGCGCGTTTACCGCTAAGGCTCAACTTGTACTACTTCGGAACGGAATGGAAGCGAATTTTTGTAACGATACTACATTCATACATACATAAACACTGTCACCCAGAGAGGTAGGCAGATACTACAGGCGACTTCCGTTTGGCACGATCCTGACACACCTCTCTCGCCTCCTCTACATCCATATACCTATGCATACATGCTCGTCGGTTAAGGGTACTCCTAATTTGGCCCGTTTTCAATATAATTTGGTCGATAAACTTTCGCCTAGGACATCCCAAATTTTTCAAAGACCAAATTGGCCTCCAAAAAGTTGGGCGTGCTCAGAAGAGCGGGACGGTATTACATGCCGGCTCACCGCCTGCAACTTTACAAGGCGCAGGTTCGAACTAACATGGAATACTGTTTCCATCTCTGGTCTGGGGCTCCCAAGTACCAGCGCCTTCCATTTGATCGCATCTAGCGCGGAGCGGTTCGAATCGTTGGCGATTGAGTTCTTTCTGATCGACTTGACTCGCTGGCACTGCGGAGAGATGTTGCATCTCTTTGCGTATTTATCGCATCTGTCGCAGGAAGTGCTCTGGGGACTTCGTTCGGACTAATTTCAGCAGCTCAATTTCATAGCACATCGCGACAAAACTCTCGATACCATCCATACCATCTGGATGATTGGCGGTCCACCACTGTGCGATTTAGAAGAAGTTTTCTTCCTCGCACAACTTCCTTGTGGAATCGACTACCAACAGTGATTTTCCGGACCGATACGACTTAGGGACATTTAAGAAAAAAGCCTACTCATCTCTCTACTCATCTCCTAATAAAAATATTTCTTCTTTACCAGACTATGAGTCTGCTCCTGAGCATAAACCTCTTCCTTCGATAGGAGGACCAGTCTGATCAGTTTTAAGTGGAAACGGTATAAAGCCAGCCATGGGGTTGCCAGAGCCTGAAATTGGATATCCAGTTGTAAGTGATTGCGTGCGTTATCTCGCGCAAACTTTAAAAAGGTTCGGACCAATTATGATGGAATTTTTTGTGTGTATTTTAGTGGGTTTTGATTCACAATTGGAGCCAGGCACTGTTTTCTATATCTAGAAATCACCCACGCTAAGCTAAGGCGGATCGCTAGTTTTGCTATACTATAATTATTGTAAAAAGAAGATATAAGATAGAAAGATAGAAGTCCTAAATCATAAAAAGATATGACGGATACTCTTTTGTGTATTGTAAACCTTTCAAATTCTTAATTATCTCTTATAAAGTCATCGATTTTGTCCTATTTTTAGGGTCGATCGTAACAAATATCAAATCCATATTCCACTACCACCAAAGATTGACCCTACGGTTACCATGATGCAAGTGGAGGAGAAACCAGACGTGACATACAGTGATGTGGGAGGTTGCAAAGAACAAATCGAAAAATTAAGGGAAGTGGTTGAAACACCATTGTTACACGTAAGTTTACTTTTTGTGGATCATAAATACGCTGCGAGCAATCAGAATTTTTGTTTTGTGTTTTATTAACTTTAATTTTTACAGCCCGAGAAATTCGTTAAACTCGGTATCGAGCCACCTAAAGGCGTTCTCCTGTTTGGTCCACCTGGTACAGGCAAGACGCTCTGCGCCAGAGCCGTCGCGAATCGAACTGATGCCTGTTTTATTAGAGTCATTGGTAAGTGATCATAACTATATAAAAATGCAGCATCACTCTGTAATCATTGTATCTGAGCTGATCCGTTTTGGACTAGATTCCCAAATTAATATAAGGCAAAGTAAAAACCGTTGGTATGAAAATTTTAAATGTGGTGCTAGAGACGAATGCTCACAACTTCTTGGTCTGTACCATAGATAAATAAATATGTAGCAAGCTACAGATACGACAGCGACTTTTAGTCAAGTTTCCCAACTACGCCTTTTGGCGCTGCAGTCGCTTAATTTGACAGATGAGTAATGACGTCATGACTATACAATTTAGTATAGCTTAGGGATTGCAAGCACACAGCCTTCTAATTATCGATATCGATGTTTAGTGGTGTTCTTATTTTTTCGATATCGACGTAAGTGCATTATACAGGAATAATAATACTTAATGAAACAATTATAATACATCTAACTTATTTATTTTTTATTCAAGCACACCAACATCATATACATACAAACGTAATCTTAGGATTAAATTAAAGGCACATTGTCATATATACAAATTAGAAAATTGTACATAACATTTTACATAAATAAGTACAATTTGACGAAACAGAGCAATATTTACAGTTCATTAAATAAAGCAAATTAAACCACAGGAATCATATTTAAGTGCTTAATATTTTACTTTCAAGTCATTTTTTATTAGAAGCAATGCTATTTATTTTTCATTAGGGGTAAACCTGGGAATTCTTTTACAAAAATTAAAAAACATCTCTTCTTTAATTTCATTTTCTACACCACGTAACCTGAAAAGAAATAAATAAAAATAAAGTTCAATATTCATATTTTATGACTTAATGATAATCATAAATTGTATATTATTTATATTAAGGTAACAAAGGGTGGCATCATGGCAGTTGCCATTTTTTATTGGTCAACCCATGGTGTGGTGAAAATAAAGTGGTAGATGCAGTAAATAAGAAATAAAAAACATATAAAGATTAACACTGTATACATCCATTATTAGGAGATTTCTCAATGTCTTCAGGCACGGAGTTCCAAATAAGTGTAACCTTAATACTAAAGGAGTTGTTGATAAAACCATTGAAGTGTAGTGGAACTGTAATCTTTAGATTTGATGAAGAACAAAGAACTCTTACCGTGATTTGAGGATAATATGCTGAATATAGATATAATAGATTTGTTGAAACTTACTTAATGTCTAAGAATAAACTGAATTTATCATACCTTTTTGCCAATGTGTACATTTTGTATCTTCTGTCAACATTTGTCTCACCACATCAGCATTAGATTTCTGTTTCTGAAAACCAACAATATTTGTGAATTTTGTTCTTATACATAAACCCAAAATTAAAGAATAAATATATAATGTATACTTCTGTATTGTATGTATTAATGCTGTATGGCTACTGTTAACGACAGTTTAGTATAATCATAATTCAAAAGTGATCTATATTATCATATAACTTAATTTTTTAGAATTTTATTTCACCACCGTCATCATTACAGCGCTTCACAAGTCCACTGCTGAACGTAGGCTTCCCCCAAGAAATGCCACAAATCACGGTCCTAAGCCACCAGCATATACAGGTCGTCACTTCATCAACATTTTATTTACTTAAACATGTTTTTCTTAACCTAAAACTTTTATACTTCTTTAAGGCCAATTTTTGGGGTTCACCCATTTTAGATACATATTTTTCATCGATATCACCCTTCAATATTTTATTATTTGGTTGAGGCTCACAAAAAATGTACTTCGTCTATATTTTTCACGTGCCGAAATTCAAGAATATATAATATATTTTTGGTAGTTCTTTGTAAATAATCTGATTATTTTCTGTATTGGGCATTATTCGCTTGTTAATATTACTCCATTTAAATTGTGAATACTTTTTAATATAAGCAAAAACAAACTGGTACAAAAAGTTGGTGAGATGTAATTTCATAAAAAAATAAAATGTGTCCATGCGTAGTACATTTTCTTTTTCTTCATTACTTCATCGTTTGAATAAAGTATCGTGATTTCTTAATGTTATGCTAAATGTAATTGCATAAAACTACTGTTCTAATAATAAGTGTAATAAAACTAGTAAAAAAATAATTAAAAAACGATTGAATAAACAAATGTGTTCCATCTGATTCACGTGTGTTACAAAAACTGTGTTACATAGCAGCTTTTTTTGGTAGAAGCAATAGCAACACGTCATCCATTTTTTTCACAATGGCAACACTATAACTTTCAATATGAAACGTCAGTGTTTTGTCAGACATCTTGGTTTACGGGCAGTAGGCAGTACTTGGTGTGTGTTATTTTTCGTCATTGGATTTTAGAGACTTTTGGAAATAATTTTGCAAGGTAAGTAATAACATTAAGTTGTTTTGTAATATATATAGTTGAAAGAGACATTAAATATTCCTAAATAATGCAGTTTATTACGGATTTGCTTTGCAAGTAAAGATGCTACCTGAATTTTAGGTTATGTTCTTCACGAGTGTTTGCTCACGTATGTTGCGTGTGTTACAAAGTTGTGTGACGTAACACACGTGAAAAGTATAAAGCTTAGTTCACATTGCAATACTTAGGTATAGAAAAAGCTAAATATTTATGTTTTGTGTCAAGAAAAAGGAGGTTCTCAATTCAACTGATATTTTTTATTTTCTTTTGTATGTATGTTACGCGATTCTCCAGATTCTGTAGACCAATTTCAAAAATACATTTTGGTGAATAGAGAATGCCTTCAGGCTGGTCCCATATAAATTTGTTGTTTAAAGTAGGCTATTTTTGGGTTTTAAACCAGAAAAAAGTTTACTTAATATACAACAAAAAGTAAAATGTAACTGCATTCATGGTTTTTATTTTTATTCTATGTTGATTTTACAGATGCCTCTAACACCTAAAGAAAGGCAGAAACTTTATCGAGAACGGCTGAAAGAAGTAAATCCTGAAAAATTTAAATTGCAGCAAAAACAAAATGCAGAAAGAACAAAAAGAAATAGAAAAAGAATAGCAGAATATCCTTTATCTGATCAAGAAATCATTAGAAAGCAGTGGAGAGAGAGAAAGAAGAAAAGTAAGAAAGAACCTAAGCCTGAAGTAGTGCCTTTAGAACGACAAATTTTAACACAGAAGAGAAATTATAATAGAAGGGTCACTTATAGACTGAAAAATGAAAACACAAAGCTAGTAGAGGAATTAAAAAAATATAAAAAGTCATTGAAAAAAATTAGGCAAAGATTAAACCGTTCTATGGAAAAAAATAAAAAGTTACTTGAAGTTATTGAGGAGAAAAACCAAATAATTCGTAGCTTTGAAGACAGGTCAAGCCCAATTGCCAAAAAAGATAAAGCCCTTGAACAAATGACCCCCGTTTCGAAAACGTGCGCATACATTGACCAAAATTTACCTAGTATTCGACCTGAAGAAAGAGAAAGCGTGAAAAAAGTTTTGCTAGAACATAATGTAATAGTGGGCACTATAAAAGACAGCTACAAAAGTAAAAACACTCAAGAAAAACGATTAATTAAAGATTTTTTACCAAAAGTGATAACATTAATAAATACAGTATGAAAACTAAGATGGCTACCTATTTAGGTCTTAAAGGAAAAATTCGTCACACTAAACAGAAAAATAAAAGCTCATTAATACAGACACAGTTAAGAAACTTTTATGAAAGGGATGATGTGAGTAGACTCAAAACAGACATTGCTAGCAAAAGTTTGAAAGAAAATTCTCATGACAGAATGAAGAAATGTTCAAAGAAAAGAAAAATAAAAGACATACACCTTAAAACAAACAAGAAACTTAAAACGGAAGAGGAGAGCAGTACAGACGAAGATATGACGATTTCTTTGCATGATACTTCTGATGAAGAGTATCACATTACAGATGATATCTTATCAGATGATGATTATCTGGATCATATGGATTATCAATTGAAAGAACAGAAGAACGTTACAAATTTAAGAAAAATATCAGACACAAGTAAAATAGAGAGAGAAAAAATAGAACAATCAAGCCATGAAGATAAAAAAAATACATACACTGGTAAAGACACAAGAGAAATAAACATTTTTTCTAATGAAAATCAGGGAGTAGTTAAAACTAATTTAGCTGAACAATCTGTGATTGCTACGACTCTGCAGGATGATGAAAATAACTTTGACAATGCAAAAAATGACTCGGAAGTGACATCAAAAATTAATACAGACATATGGAGGCTATCTTTCAAAGACACTGTACTTGTAAGGTATTATCAAAGAACCGCGTTGAAGTATTACATAGGATTCTTGGAATACAGTTTTAAAAAAGAAGGAAAATCTTATTTTACCATACGATTTCTGAAAACCATTAAAAAACCGGAGCTAAAGTTTGTAATTCACAAAATAAAAGATGAAGATACTGTAACTGAAGATTTAATAGTTAAGCAGGTTAAAATAACACAAAACGACCAAAAGAATACTTTTTAGCTGATCCTAGCGATAAGGTTTATTTTGAGTAGAATATTTACAAGTAGGTAGATATAACTATATATATATATATATATATATACATATTCAAATAATGCCAAAATAATACGATTGTGTAATTCTAAGTACAAATTTTGATCTCTTTGTTTTTTAAGTTGCTTTATTAAATAAATAATTCTATCTATAATCGTATTTTATTTGAAATTCAATTTTTTATTGCTTTATGTGCATCAATCTTAACAACATTTCCAGTGTGTTACACAATTCCAGTGTGTTATCGTGTGTTACAAGTTCTTGTGTGTTATGGTACATTTTCTGTGAGCCTCACTCATTTATGTTGCACCAATTGTGTCCATGTAATCTAATTAAAATATTGACGAAAAAGTTACAATTAAGGCATGCTTATCACACCCTAGGCAGGACAAACTTAAAGTGCTCAATAAATTTCTTTTCAAATTACTTTTTATATTACTTCCAATACAGCTATAATTCAAATAGTTATGAATAAAGTGAGTGCCATCCCTGTACAAGATAAGGAATTTTTCGTTAGGGTATGCCAAATTATTATTTTTTAACAATTTATACTCTCTAAATTTAATGTAAGAGTGAATGTTTGTCTCCGTACTGCTAATATATGTTTTGATGCAATCCTTACAACGAATCGCTTTCGTTATTTTCCGACAAATGTATCCAGCAGTGTAAGCTGAGCAGTGGACTTTAATTTTTTCCATGACTACATCATTCACTAGCAATTTTTCTCCTGAACTTGCTTGTGAAGAAGATGGGAGATCTCGCAAAACACTGGTAGTGTTTTCCGAGTCATTTTCTTTATTATTATGAAGGTTTTTAAAAAGAACACTAAGATTTAATAATGTTTCTCCATTATCCTCTTCACAATTAGAGAATTTGGAATGTGGACTAAGCATGTTAGATAATATCAAAGATTTAAAGGCATATATAAATGTGTTTGCATCTGGGTTAACATTTCTATAATTTACAGCTCTTATACGTCCAAAAAAATTCTCTAATGGGTCTTGATTAATATTCCTCGGATAATAATATTCTACATTATACTGTTCAAATAATAATTTGGAGACCCTTATAAAACTTTCAAGAGTTGTAACCCATCCTTGTTGGGATGGCACTCGCACAAGTCGAGGTTTTCCTGCTTTTGTAGCATGTTTGCTACTGGTGTCCACAAAAACCATTTTTTTTATTTTATTAATGGCCTCAATCCAAAAAGTGTGATGTTGTGAATTTTGTTTAACCGCTCGTCTTAACTTTCTTCTTTGCACACCACCCGGGTAGCCATTGACGCTGTCAAACAGTGTGTCAAAGAATTCAACAACTTCTGCTGTTGTGGCCATTGTTGCGTCAGAGTTTGCAGTATGAAAATAATCTGAAAAAAAAAGTACTTCTTAATTTAATTTCTTTTACAGTTGGACCTGCAAATCTTTAGCCAAGACACTTCTTATTTGGTTACAACAACAGACTTTTTTAACCATTTTTTTTACAAATTGATTTTTTTACATGAAATTTTACAATAGTATATACATAAATTGAATAAGCCTACAAATCAATATAGCAATCGTTACTTACTGAGTGCATTTGTATATTTGAGCATAGCAGCAGTTCGAGCACTAAATACTTGAGCAGCTACGCTGACCTTAATTTTTTTGATCTTTTTGCGATCAACATGATGAGCTGTTAACTTTGGTAGTGCCCTTGTGTGTCCCAATTTGCTATCCAAATCAAAAATGAACTCAATATCTTTCCAAGAGGCGGTTTTTTCTTCCCAAATTATATCTTTATTTAAAAAATTATTTCTTAAACCCTTTAAGAGATGAGGTGGGTCAAAAAATATGCTTAAATCGTGATCAGCAATATTAACTGATCCATCTGTAAAATAATTAAAATAAATAATATTTGTCATGAAGTAGAACTGGTTTTTAAGTAATTAAGAATGGTACACACCATCATGAACACCTTGAATATTCCGCCTACGAATTGTATCTTCCCTAAGTCTTCTTATTGCTGTTCGAAATGTGGACCCTTGATCACAAACAAGACCTAAAGGTATTAACCCAGTTTGTATTACTTGGGGCACAATCTGCTTTAAAATGCATTGCAGCTCTGCTGCTGATACTGTGCCTTCACAGAAATAAAATGCTACACTCTGTCTCCATGGAGAGCATATTCCTCTTAGCATAAAAACTAAAGCATGATCACAATATTTTAGTTTTCTCTCTCCAGCTATATCTACAAACCCATTAATTATATCATCTTTCTCATTAAAAGTTAAATGTGGTGTCAGAGAGACTTCATCAAAAACTATTGTGCATAGCTTTTGTTTAGTGTCCCATTTTTTTGTTGTATTTGATATATGTTCAAATATTAATGGATTGAGTCCTGCTTGTATTGAAACCTTCTCAGAAAGTCTATTTAATGTCCGTTTACTAGGCAAGGCAAACATTCTTTCTAATAGTTTATAACTTTTGGGGCTTTGTTTCATTATGAGCAATGCCATTAATTTTTCATCTAAGGTAAACCTTCTGGCCATTTTGCTTTTATGAATTTGTTTTAATTGCATAAACAAGAAAGTCTGAGCTTGTTTGTTTAAGAAATAAAAGTTTCCAAAAGGTCTTTATTTCTTGACAGGGATTGGGCTTGATCAAGTCGTTGTGATACTGAGTCACTTAAACTTTCAGTTGCAATATTAGTCAAAAATTTAACCAATTTTCTTTTCCTTGATACTATTTTCTTCGCCATGTAACCTGAAGTGAAATAAATAAAATAATTAAATTCTATATTCATATTTTATGACTGAATGATACACTTAAAATTATTAATTTTTTATTTATACATTTTTATTTTAATCTTTTAATGTATTCACTTTGATAAGATAACAAATAAAGTGGATGTCATCAGAGGAAGAGTTCCAGAAAAATGTAACCTTAACAGTAAAGGACTTGTTGATAAAACCATTGAAGTGTAGTGGAACTGTAATGTTGGGATTAGGTGAAGAACAAAAAACTCTTATTGTGATTTGAGGTAGATATTGAAACTTTTTCTAATTATGTCTAAGAATAAACTGAATTTATCATACCTGTTTGCTTTTTTGTACATGTGCTACCTTTTGGCATCATTTGTTTCACCACATTAGTATTAGAATCAATTCCTGAAAAGAAGCAATAGTTATGAATGTTATGGTCTTAAACATAAATTAAATTTACAATGTATGCTTCTCTGTATTGTATGTCTAAATTAAATACACGTAACCATCCTCTAGAACTCATGCAGTTCCAGGTATGCAGTGACAACTCCAGTCCACAGCCTGTTTTTAAGCATTTAAAGTATTTTTTCAATTACCCGATATATAAGTACTTCTTTTAATTTGATCCCTACATAAATGTATAAAAAATTATGCCCAATAAAATTTCACATACCTTTATTTTCTACAACTGTTGCAACAGTTGAAAAATTTGAACATGAAGGCTGTTCATGAGAACCTACAACATCTGAAATTTGTTACAAGTTTGCATTTTTATAGATGTCAGTATGCTTACGCAAACATATTATTAGAAAATAAATGTCTAAGAATAAACTGAATTTATCATACCTGTTTGCTTTTTTGTACATGTGCTACCTTTTGGCATCATTTGTTTCACCACATTAGCATTAGAATCAATTCCTGAAAAGAAGCAATAGTTATGAATGTTATGGTCTTAAACATAAATTTACAATGTATGCTTCTCTGTATTGTATGTCTAAATTAAATACACATAACCATCCTCTAGAACTGATGCAGTTCCAGGTATGCAGTGACACCTCCAGTTCACAGCCTGTTTTTAAGCATTTAAAGTATTTTTTCTATTACCTGATATATAAGTACTTCTTTTAATTTGATCCCTACATAAATGTATAAAAAATTATGTCCAATACAATTTCCCATACCTTTATTTTCAACAACTGTTGCAACAGTTGAAAAATTTGAACATGAAGGCTGTTCATGAGAATTTCCAACATCTGAAATTTGTTACAAGATTGCATTTTTATAGATGTCAGTATGATTAGGCAAACACATTATTAGAAAATGAATGGTTAGTAAATTTATGAAATAGTTAGAAAGCTTTTTTTGCTACTTAGTAACTAGTGCTACATGAATATTAGTACACACCTGATGATCCAATCTCTATCGATGATTTGGAACAATCATTTTGCTCTTTGTAGTAATTGTGTTCAATCGTAACATCACTTCCTGAAAACATTATTCAAAATGTTGAAAAATTTGCCACTGACTGTAATTTAAATAAAATATTTTTAGAAATCAGTGTTCATCATAATATGTTTACTATGATTTACAATTAACATCAATTAAGATATTTGTACATACCAGGCTTGCTAACCACTAACACAGCTTCTGTGAAATCATCTTCATTTTGCTCTTTACAGTAATTATGTTCAGTTGTGACATCCCATCCTGAAAAAATTACACTATCATAACAAATAATGATGTAGAGTCAATGACACTTACAAATGGTCGTACTTTTATCTTGTTAATACTTGGGCCCAAGAATGTATAGAGACGTCTCCTTCTCTTTTAAGTACCATGGTTGAAAGTAATAAAATAACTCACCAGTTGCAGTCAGAGGCACACCATGAGCTATTTCATTGTCAGTAAGCAAGGACGGGTAAGAGTATCGAAGTCTTCTGCCTTCATTGCCGAACTGAAATACATCAAAATGTTTTTCACAGACACGTTTGTTAAGTAACTGTTCTTTGGAAAGTACAATGAGCTGGGGATTTGTCGGCACTATGAAAGCCATCCACAAGTTCCTTAAATTATCGTTCCTAGGGAATCTGAAAAGCCGGTGCGTTTCACGTGTTGTATTGCAACCACCAACACAACACTTTTCGTATACCATTATGATGATATATGCAATATTCACACGAGCAGCACAAAAACAGAATATTGTAATAATTGAGAAAAATTTGGATAAATAATGGCGGCAAATGGCGGCAATCAATCAATGGGTGCGTTTGGCAGAAAAAAGCGCTAGCAAGCGCTTGTAAGCAAAATGGCGATCGTAAGCGGTAAGCGCTGTCAAATCGTAAGTAGCTATTTTCCTCTAGGACACGATGTTAGTTTTAACCGGGGAACCTAACCTAATTTAAATATATGTTTGTGAAGTATTCATATTTAAAACTTACCAATCATGAATTTTTAATAACATGTATATGTCTATTCATGTCATTATATTACTTAAAACTAATATTGCAAAAAACAAATTATAAACACTACGTCAAAACAAACAAATTAAATAAGCAAAATGGCGGATTGTGTCAGCGCTACTGAAGTAGGAATCGTGTCCTGGCCGAAAACTATTTTAGCGCTAGTAAGCGCTTGCTAGCGCTTTTTTCTGCCAAACGCACCCATTATCGATAGTTTTGACAATATGATTTGACATTAATAGAATATGGCGTCTCAAAATGGCGTCCGTAGGCAGAGTAAAAATTGCGACGGTAGCGCCAAGTTGCGTAGAATGGAACTAAGCTGTCACGGGCCTGGTCTGTACTCGATATGAATGTATTGAAAACCTCCACCGTGTTTTAAAATAGTTTCAAGTTTTTAGACACATTGCGAAAAAGGCGGATGATCATATTAATAAAAACCTATCGTTGTTGTAAGGTCGAAAAAGAGACTTCGTCAACGTTGTTTGGAAATAATAATTTCGTACTACACTGATAACGCATGTCCACGAACTAACATTGCCATCAATAGATCTAAAATATGCTACAAAGAAATAATTAACTGTAAGAATGTTGACAATTTTGTGTTGACAAATTACGAATAAAAAAAATTGTGCATAATGATTTGCCATTGAAGTTCAAAGGGATACTATAGAATGGTAGGTACAAATTGTATGGCCTTTGGCCAGTACAAAGACAATATACGAAAATGTAATATAATGGTTTTTCTATTGGCAGGATTATTAACATTTAATTTTTTTTATTATTAGAAAAAGGGCTTTGTCGCTGAAGCGATTATGATGCCCTGGTACAACAAAATTCTTAAATAAAATAAATACTAACAAATAAACTTATTAATTACTTAATCTCTTATTTACTAACACAAAGTTTTTTGGCATCATCTGATAACGGGTCTGATAAAATACTATTAATTGGCAGTATTGTCATATATTATCAATGACAAATGTTAAATACAATATTTTCTTTCTATGGAGTTCTGGGCACATTCTATTAAAATGTGATAAGCATCATCGATAACATTGCAAGTTGAACAGTTTGGTGAGGTAGTTTCTCGCATCAAGTATAAAAATTTATTGCATGGAATGTGCCCAGATCTGAGTCTTAATGCTATTACAGTATCGGGTCTACACAATATTCGGTTATCTATCCAGGTTGAGCGCATTGGGTGCGGCCGATTAACATTTAATTACAGCCTATTAAAAATTCCACTGCTGAACAAAGACTTCTGAATTACCAACAACATTAATGCAATCTAAAATTATTTGAACTATGAATTACTACATGTAAAGGTAGCTGTAACACTGTTTACTCTAACTAATAGTTATTTACGTTATGACTTGGAATATTATATTATTTTTATTCAAAACAAATTATCTATATTACGGAGAGCATAGAAAGAAAATCGCTTTGAAGTGTCAGAGGTTTTCTGATACAACTCTCCTAGAGCAAACAATGTCTCTGCTATGAACATTCTTGTCACTTTGAGTTTAGTGGCAAGGCTACACATTGCAGTACAAATTAATAGAAGATGTAAATGATGCCAATTATTATAAGAGAAACATTTTACAGACAAGTGGACAAATTAAAAGTTTTGACAGACTTCAAAATGAATAAAATATTCAATATGATGTCCTCATCATCGATCTAGTCAAAGTCAATTAAAAATGCATTATTAAGGAGAACTCAAAAATTACTAGTCAGATCCTGATAAAATTTACATGGGACCACATAAGAAGCACAAGCTTTCAAATAAAAAAAATAATCATCAAAATTGGTTCACCAAGAAAAAGTTCTGAGAAAACACACATATAAAAGTACATACGAATTGAGTACCTCCTCCTTTTTAAAGTCGGTTAAATAATCGTAAAAGACCGTCACCACCGCTTGTCTTCCTTTCTATCCAGATTTAATTCGAATACTTGTTTAAAATACGATTGATTTCTTATATATCTTATATATCAAAAAAACTAGTATTACCTATTTAAATAGGTAATACTAGTTTTTACCCCAGGGGTATATAAAACAGTTAATATACGCGATAAAATCCTTAAAAACTACTAGTATTATTTAAATAAAATACGATTATTTCCTTCAGGTGTTAACATGTACTTGGCATTTTACAGATACATAGTTATTTCTGGTTTTTTCATTGATACAAAAGTCAACAGTAGGTAGATTGACCTTGATAGTCAGTTTTTGTGAAATTCGAAACAACAACAAATAAATATACCGTAATGTATTTTTGCCAAAGGTTCCGAACTGGTCCAGAAATACGTAGGCGAAGGCGCTCGTATGGTGCGAGAACTGTTTGAGATGGCGCGCAGCAAAAAGGCGTGTCTCATTTTCTTTGACGAAATTGACGCCATTGGAGGTGCCAGGTAAAGATTGGAAACCCAGAAGCAAGGTTTATTACTCAAAATAACTATAAAAGAAAGATAGGGAAAGTTTTCAAAAACAAAATGGCAATATGCCGGAGTCGAAGTTCGTTCGGAAACTTCTCATTATCTACCGCCACAGCTTAGACTTTTCAGTTGTGAAATATCTTTGAAGTCAGGCGATGCCTCCGGCCACGTAGGTCTGTATTTACGCGTTCTCAGTTGTTTATGCTAGGGTTTGTCACGAATTAGATTAGTTGGAAATAAAATAATTTTGGATATTATAATACTCATTATCATTTATTAAAATTATATACTTATAAGTTAAAAACATTTACCAAACAAAATCATTTATTTATTATTAAAAGAAAAAAAATACATAGCAAGTACATTCTTTTCCGAACTGTAAGGTCTTTAAACTGTGCTACCACTATGCTTTTTTGTGTACTGTAAAAATGCTGTAATAATAATAATAATGTCCTCCAGACCGAATTTCGGCCACGGCGGCCTGCCTCAACGGAGGCTAGCCATCGGCGCAGGACAGGATTATAGTGCCCAAGTGTATGCGCAAGCACAGGTGCACTCTCTATTCCCTCACTCTCATAATCCGATTGGACGGTAAACTGACACGACCGGAGAGAGATCAGGCGCAGGACACCGCCAACTTCCTGACTCCGGGCAGCTATTGAGAATTTCTTGACAGAAAAACTCAGTAATTGATTTTTTTTGACCCGACCCGGGATTTGAACCCAGGACCTCATGATCAGCAGTCGCACTACTACAACCACTAGACCAACGAGGCAGTCAATGCTGTATAGAATTAGTATAGAACCTGATGCCACTATGTATAATATACGTGTCCGTTCTTAGAGTATACTCAAATTGCATAAAAAGCGCATACGCAATCAAGAGCTATAGACTGACCTATATGCGCATGATATTAGATCATATATTAAATTATTAAATCGGGTGTAGTAATGTCCGAAGGGGGCCCCGCGATCACAAAGCGTCAACCACAAAATTTGTGATAGGCTAATCCTTTAGCGAACCTTTAGAAAATCTACTCTGCTCTGTATAAATACTTAGACTTATAATTTCGTTATTTTGTTTATATTTATGCCAAACGAAAGGTTTGGTATTATGTAGGCCAAGTGCTTTTTAATGAAATGTTGATAACATTCAAAGAGTTTAATTTTCGACAGTGGCACTATATAACTTTCTTCTTAGAACCTAAGTGTACAGCTTTTGTAAAATTATAATTTTTTTATAAATAATTATACTGTGTAGTAATTTAACACTTAAATACTTTCAAGGTTTGACGATGGCGCTGGTGGGGATAACGAAGTACAACGAACTATGTTGGAGTTGATTAACCAGTTAGATGGTTTCGATCCCCGTGGTAACATTAAGGTGAGTAATTAAACTAAAACTAAGTTGGTTTATTAAAATGAGGTTTATTTTTAATTCTATTTACATTTAAAATATAATTTATCAAGCAGGAAATGCGGCAATTTTCTGTATTCCATCTAAAATGGTCCAATGTACATTAAATGTATTGATTTAAGATCAGAGGATAGGTTGCATTGTAATGTTGGAGACATGGAGATATGTAGTTTCTTATATCTCGATTGAAAAAATCTTCGATTCGAAAACAAAATTTTGTACCAAAATCATTATGATCACTTAATTGCAGCCAAAAAGCCTACAGGTATTTTGAAACATAAGCTTTTCCTATAAAGACTGAAGCACGGTTTTTACCACATACCTCCATCAACAACTTTATTGAATAAATTACTTTCATTTGTAGATAATTCCGGCTAGAATAGTAAGTACATAAGTATATTGTTTATTTATTTATTTATTGAAACTTACAACTACAAAAACAGGAATGAACTAATACGACAATGTGGTTCTTCTCATGCTTAACAAAATGATTTGATCTTAACAAATTGCAAACAACTAGGTACCCTAGTGAATTCACACAAGGTGCGGCAGAACAGGTGAATATCTTTAGCCATTCTATTAAGAGTGCGTAACCTTTGTGTTAAAGGCGCCTTGTCTAGCACGCGGCACGGAACAGCAGCCGTATGGAACACACAGTCCAATCCACCGAAACATGTCACTATTGTATATTTTTCTTCTAAGCATTTTAAAAATATATAAGACAAATGTTAGGTATCGTCTTACTCTCAACTCTTTGTAGCTAAGCATACCCAGTGTAAATAAACTAAAGTACATTAATGGGTACATAGTGTACACTCCATAATAAGGCATATACAGGTGGTCCGGTAAGTAATGAATAACCTCGCAAGTACTAGTGGGGGGCACGCCTCGGCCACTCAGAAAAGTAAAAATAAAAAGTATATCTGCAGTCTGCGAAAAAAAATACTTTTCCAGTCTGCTGCAGATATATTTTTTATTTAAATTTTTCTGAGTGGCCGAGGCGTCCGTCCCCGTCACTAGTACCTGCGGGGTTATCCATTACTTACAAAACACGTGTATAAGGCATCTGTTTGACTAAGTAATGTATTTCATATCATAACTAGCTCTGTATTTATTTATAGCGTTCATATTCCTTACATTCATTTTGTTTCCAATTGATCGTTGAATAAAACATACGTATTTAACCCTTCAAGCGTCATAAAAATCCCATGCAGTCCGCACCCACCCACAGCACTTAAAACCATTAAAACTTATATTTAGAGACTATTTTTATATGAAGGAGTTTAGCATTATAAAATCTATACAAAATTCTATATCCTTTTTGTTCTAAACAAAAATTAGGTTTTACTTCATTACAAAAAGATTCTATTGTATTTTGATAACAAAAAAACATACCAAGTGAATGTCGGCAGCGTGAAAATCACTATGATTTTAATATATATTACTCGAAATTACTTACGTAAAAAGATAAATTATATTCATACAAAAACTTTCAATACAATTTTATATAAAAAAAAAACACTATACTAAAATACTAAAACACTAGAAAAATCCAAAAATCAACACAATAACATTCACGGGAAAATGGCGTATGAATTGAACGTAGATTATAAATAAATATTCATAGGATAACAGTTTTTTATTGCACTAGAGCTAGAGGATAGAGTATTTTATATTGATTATATAATGCCAAACTTCTTAGAAAAGTAGTGTCTATCTATATATAAGTTTTTATGGGTTAAAGTACTGTGAGTGGGTACGACCTCATGAGACCGCTAGGCATTTGACGAAATATGGCCGCGGTCTCATGAGACCGCTAGAGGGTTGAGAGGTTAATTTTATTATTTATTATCAAGCAAGTCTCGACCTTATTTAAACCAAACAGTATCTAATAAATTTATTTTGTACACGTTCTTTCGAGCGGCGACTATATTACCGCATTACACTCAATTACTTCTTATTAGTGTATTATACATATTCTATGGGCATAATAAACTTTTTAATGCCTTAGTTAAAATAAATTGTCGCAGGTGCTGATGGCGACGAACCGTCCCGACACGCTGGACCCGGCTCTAATGCGTCCCGGTCGTCTCGACCGCAAAGTGGAGTTCGGACTGCCCGACCTTGAGGGACGTGCGCACATCTTCCGCATTCACGCGCGTTCTATGAGCGTCGAACGCGACATCCGCTTCGATCTGCTGGCGCGACTCTGTCCCAACTCCACGGGCGCGGAGATCAGGTACTATACGACACGACACGACGAACGTAGGCCTCACCGATAGATACGGAGATGTTTGCCATAGTTGCCACGCTACGGGCGGGTTGCCATAGTTGCCACGCTACGGGCGGGTCGGCATCCGCAGTTTAATTTTTTTTTACGTTGTTATTAGGAAGACGCTGCTACCCATTTTCTGGTTTGTGCCTCTTATGATGCCCACAGGTCAATATGGGGTAATGGATGTTGTTACGCCGCCACTACACAGTCTTTGTTTAATGAGCAGTATTTTTAGCCACCAAAGTGGGAAAAAAGGCTCAGAAGATAGTTTAATCGTCGGCGAGTCTGTTAGTGATTGTGTAACTTCTGAACAACTTGACCGATTGAGGTCATTACATAAAATATTTATTTTGTCGAGACGCTGGTTCACACCTGTGCTAAGATTTGATAGGTGGTGCTGTAATCAAGTTATGAATATATGTGTTTTAAGTACCAAAAAATAAAATTGCAAAACCTAAAACTGGTTAGGTGGCGTTGTCGTCGAGTTATTACCTATAAATATTTCAGAGTGAATTCGGAGTGACACTCATCACACCATCTACCCGGAAAGGGCAAAACAACGTCTGCCGCACAAACTAATCCATTATATGATTTTTACACAGATCTGTGTGCACGGAGGCGGGCATGTTCGCGATCCGCGCTCGACGCAAGGTTGCTACGGAGAAAGATTTCTTGGAGGCCGTCAACAAAGTCATCAAGTCCTACGCTAAGTTCTCGGCCACGCCGCGCTACATGACCTACAATTAATTACAATGAGAATTACTATTATCCATTTGTATACCAGTTGTTCTTTGGATATTAATTTTCCTTAGAGTGAAGCGCAAGGCGAAGCGCTGAAAATAAAAATGGATATTTACCACGTACTATAAATAAAAATATTAAAATAATGAATAAATATTCGTCTTTAATTTGATAAAACCAATCATTTTGTTATTTCTTGTACGTATATCTATTGCAGGATTCCTAAAAAAACTACGATTATCTGCGGTATTTCACACTATCGTAATATGGCAATAATTACGGTCATAATTGAAACAACACCTACGTGTAGCCATGATTTATGTTCATAACTTCACAATGTCAATCGATATAGCATATGACGGTAGGAAGTAGCTCCGGTGGCGATCTTTTCTGCTCATCAAAGAAGATTACTGCGGAATTTTTGCATCTAGTGGCCAGACTACAGTTTGTTTAGTGTGTTCAGAGATCAATGGAAAAATACTAATCTATTGCGCTTTCTGTGCATTTTTATCATCCACCATCTTCTAAGTCTTGGTTTAGCTTTGTTAAAATGTAAAAGATTTATGTAATAGTAACTGACACTCGTAAAGTACAACACCGCCGCAGCTTCAACCTCTATCTTGAAAAATGACATTTTGTCCACCTAGTTCATAGTCATATCTCGGTAAACTGTAGTGTAACCACACTACTTCATGCGGTAATATACAGTAATTTAATGACATAATTAATGCGGTAAACAATAAGGTAGTGTGGCCGTTGCTTTACATTTATTTATTTCAGCCCATCACAAGTCCACTGTTGGATACGGGCCACTCCCAGCCTCTCCCAAAGATTGCCATAGGATACATTTTAATTGCATCAATATAAAACGTTTATTTGATGCACCAAAATGTTGTACAAAAGACGAATTTTATGCTATGCATTCTAATACCACCTAACTTTGGGTAGAACAGAGTAATTTTTGGGCAGTTAGGCTGCCATATTAATTGAAGAATCATTCATTCATTAAATAAGAATTAGTTATGTAGTACAAACAATATTTATGTCCACAATTGTCCAAATACTCAAACTGCTCAATTTTAAGATGCGTTAAGTATTGTGCTGTCTATCTCTAACTCAAAGTAACTGTGACACCACGAGACTTAACATTTTAAAATTGAATAGCTTTTGTGTATTTGGCCATGAGGAACTGGAATCGTATTTTTAGATAAAGAAGCGACAAAAAACAGTTACCATTTCAAAACAAAGTGGAAAGGACTCTGGCATCTGCGCCACTAGTGTATCGTCAGCTTTTTTAACAGGGAGCAGAATGGAGCAGAACGAAACATGATCTGCGCAGACCAAAGATAAACCTTTAAAGGCTAAAACACCGTGACCGTGTAGACGATGTAAGAATATCGCTACCCGATGTAGTCCCGTGAGTGTCGTTGGGGGTTGCAGAGAGAAACAAACAGATTGAGAAAAGGAGTTTTTACGGGAACCTACTAATATATGTTTGTAAGTATTCATATTAAAACACCAATCATGAATTTCAATAACATGTATATGTTTATTCATGTCATTATATTACTTAAAACTAATATTGACAATACTTGGTTATTACAGCAGTATATTTCTAATAAAAAAAAACTGCTGTTATCAACTCGCCTGCCAAGCACAGCAACAGTGGCAAATATACCCCCCCCTCCCGTGAGGCCTATATTTAACAGTGAATAAAAATCGTATGCAACCATTGAAGTAATATGTACTTTACGTACTAGAACAGCTATCTCAAACAAAAAATGTGCGCTACTCTGTGTTCGTGCGGTTGTTTTTTTTATCATAGAATAAACATAGGACCCGTAGGTAATAGTAGATTGTATTGTTAAATAGGTAAATTATATCGAGAACAATATTTAAATTTTGTCATTTATTTTGTATATTATATTTTGCTTATTTAATATAATATTACATAATACTATATCACAATTACATTTTACATACACAATTACAACATTTTAATGATATTTTTATCTGAATATTTTAAAAGGTATCTAAGTCAAAAATAAAAAACATATTAAATGTATGTTTAACAAAACTTATTAACATAACATTTAAATTACAAATATATTTATTTAAATTAGAATAAAAGTCGTTCATGAATGCTGCGCACGCGAGAGCTAAAAATGGACGAATTTATACCACTTTGACTTTGATGTGGAAACCTAAAAATAAAATAAAAGAATAATAAGCAGATTTATACATGAAAAATTTTGCCAAATCATAATTATTTATAAATGTTTCTACAAAAGAATGTGTATAATAATATATTCGTCCTATACTTAAGTACCCACAGAAATGTCGCATCTGAACTTATTCATTTCCTAATCTATATTCCATGATACGAGATGGCGTCTTAGGAATAATTTGTTTTATTATTAATATATAATACGTTTTTGTTAATTAAGTATCTTATTAACCGATGAAAAGTAATTCCTTGGTTTTTACTGACATTTCTTGAATTATTTGTGCAATATCTAAGTACACACGACGGCATATTTTTATCAAGATATTTTTTTTTAAATCAACACAACACGTGACAACTCTATAAGCGCCTAGCGAGTGACTGATTAAAGTGCGGTGTATGCACCGCAGTTGAGTGGAACAGAGTAGCTGAATGCAGTGTCGTCTCTAGTACGTAGTACATAATAGCTCAATGTATGCAACAAACTAAGTTGTCTAACTTGTTTAGCAGTACCTGATAATTAGTGAGTCATCGGTATAGTCAAATAAACAAACAGAGACAGAACGAGAAGACAAAAAGAACTTAAGGCGACAGTTGGAACGAAGTGTGTGCCTGTGACTTTACGACTAACCTTTTTAAGAGTGACACACGAGCACACAGTCCACCTGATGTTAAGTCAATGCTGTTACCTATAGACAATTGCATTTATCCTTAAGGGGAAATATAACCTCAAATGGCTTAGCAAGATCCTCCGTTATACCGAAAATATTGCAGCATTAATTTTGAAATAAATATATGGTGAAGTTGAGGATTAATGTTAAGTACTATGTTGAATGTATGTGTGAATGTATGAATTCCAAGCTTCAGGACGCCGATAGTTTAGGTAATTTTTTTTACAGTGAAAATAATGGTAATTTAAAAAAAATAAAAAACATAAGCCCTGCTTTATAGTTAGTTCAGTTAGTATGCAAAGTTTCATGATCTAATTTTAAGTATTTTTTGAATACCAGCGGTTTATTTTTCAGTTTGGAGATAAATTTGGATTTTTTTTTCTATCGAGAAAATTTTACGGAATCATGTTTTCGTCTAACATAGTACTTAACATTAATCCTCAACTTTACCACATATTTATTTCAAAATTAATGCTGCAATATTTTCGGCATAACGGAGGATCTTGCTAAGCCATTTGAGGTTATATTTCCCCTTAATTAAGAATCAAAATGCAGGTGCGTTATCATCCCTGAGGACTAAGATGGAATACCCAGCTTCCAGTAAAAAGGGTCTCCGGTATTCTACACTAACCAAACTAAACCCACCAGCATTAAGCTGCTATTTTACGCTGGATTCTGTGAGAGCGTAATCCTTCCCCGGTCGAGCCGACCTATTCGTGCTCTAAACACAATAAATTATAGCTACATCCATAATGTAGCTGCAGCGTGGTTCTACCACATATAAAATTAGGTTTTTCGAAACCTGGGGAAATAAAGGACCTTTTTTTAAATATAACGTTGACAAACGGGCAGACATATTCTGTGATAGCCTGGTCCTTCCCGGTACAGTCGACTCATACGTGCTACGACCATATTGTAACTGCATTCAAACACTAGGGAAATCAAGGACCCTTTTATTTAAAAGTTTTTATTTAACTTCACTTGTGTGTATGTCCTGGAATTTTGCAATCAATATTTCACTCACTTCCACTGAAGCTATCGGATATGGCACACACCTTTGGTTCTTGTAACAATGCATGATAACTAAAATGCAGCCATTTTTAATCCAATATGGTGGACGTTAGAAAAGGGCGATTTATCATTTCTGCAGCAACCCTTATGATTTAAATCTAATACCTGGATGACCGAGCTTTGCTCGGTTTATTTTTTTTTTTTTTGAAATTACATTTAGATACAAATTACACACGGGTGAAACATGAATAATATGTTTTTGATCGTATTGACATAATAAAAAAAACGGAACTGGTCATTTGAATAAAAAATCATGCAAAATGCGTGCAATTAATAATTTTTAACCCGCGAGAACTCACGCTGTGAGCATTTTGTTCACGGTAAATTTAAAAATGGCGCCATTCTGTCAAAAACCTATACCTGACACCTGACAGTCGCTTGCGCCGTGTAGCTGAGTTTTATTCCATCTCCGTCCCGAAACATACGTTCATACGTTGGCCTTGGCCTTGGGTTAGGTTAGTATGCTCCAGACAATCTTAGAGGAAGGTTTGTGCGAATCACCTCCAACGCGCGGGGTTTCGCTCTTCGCACGAGTATCGATGTAAGTATTGTTTTTGTGAGTAAGTTTTTTTTTTCAAATGTTTAATATTTTTATATTCTACGTTTTATGTCATTTTTTTAAATTAACAGTGATGGTTTGTGTATAAACTATAATTTAAAATAATAAAATTAGATCTATGTTTATTGTAGATGGATAAAAGGGAGCAACAAATTGTGGCGTGGCTGATGGAAGAAGGTACGGAGGAAATAGAGGACCCAGATAGTAGGATTGTCAAAGCAGAGAGTGACGGAGATAGTGATCACAGTGAACATTGCACCGACACGGAACAGTCATCATGCGGAAATGAAGGTGAGAATTATTCAAGTCAATCCGAACACGGTATTACTTAGGCAAGGATAAAATTACCATGTGGAATTATCGTCCACAACGTACCAATATAAGAACAAGGTCACATAACATAGTTGACAGTAGACCAGGGGTAAAACCAGTAGCCAAAGGCGCTAAACATATTATTGAATGTTTTCTTCTTTTTGTAAGTGAGGACATGCTTACTAAAATTGTTTTTACACAAATAATTACATTAAAAAAATCATGGACCATGAAGAGAAGAAATGTAGCGAATCATAGAGATAAAAGCATTTATTGGGCTCTTGTACATGGCTGGTATAAAGAAAATGAATCACCTAAATTTAAAAGAAATGTGGGAGACAGATGGTACCGCTCCTGATGTATATCGAGCTGTCACGAATCGCAACCGATTTATGTTTTTTATGAGATGCATTCGATTTGATGATGTACAGACTCGTCAGGAGAGATCTGAGTGTGACAATATTGCACCAATTCGTGAAATATTTGATTTATTTGTCGAAAAGTGTCGGGTTAACTATCAGGTTGGAGAAAATGTAACCATAGATGAAATGTTAGAATCGTTCCGGCGTCGTTGCAAATTCCGAATGTATATTGCTAACAAACCAGCCAAATATGGCATAAAAGTATGACGTGTGACGAGTAATTTAGAGATTTATCCAGAGAAACAACCAAATGGTCCATGCAATTATGATAATTCCTCATCTGCTGTTGTTACTCGTTTATCAAAAGATATTCTAAATTCTGGAAGAAATATTGCAGCAGATAATTATTTTACATCTATTCCATTGGCCGACGAATTGCTGACTAAACGTACTACAATGGTTGGCACTATACGCAAAAATAAAAGGGAAATTCCACCTATGTTTTTGAATACTAAAATAAGACCAAAGCCCAGTAGTATTTTTGGTTTTCATACGGGCAAGGTTCTGGTATCCTATATACCAAACAAAAAGAATTAAAAAATGCTCTTATGCTTAGTACTCTTCATAATGACGACCGAATCGATCCTGAAACTGGAGATGACGCAAAACCTGAAATAATTACATTTCACAATAAAACCAAATAAAACCATCTACCCCTCAGATGTTGTCGATAGATTGAAACAAAAATATGCTGTAGCTTGAGTGGCCTGTAGGTGGCCACTGAGAATATTTTTTCCCATTTTGAATAAAGCAGGTATCAAAAGTCAAATTATTTATCACGGAAATTGCGATAATTTGATCACAAGGAGGGAATATTTGAAAAAGCTGTTTCTCTCTCTAACCCAAGAACACATCAGCCGAAGAAGCTCGTTGCAAAATATATCATATCCCCTTAAACAGATTATAACCCGATTTTCAAACAAAAGAGACATTCCCGAAACTGAAACACCTCCTGGAATATGTGCGGTGTGCCCAAGGCGTAAAAATCACAAAACGAAAAAAAGGCTTGTGTTTACTGTAAAAAAAAATTATGTTCAGAACATGCAAAAATTTTGTGTGATATGTGTAAGTCTAGGTTATATGATGAGGATTAAGATATTTTGGGGGGGTTTGGGTGGGTTCTTTGATGTTTTGTTTTAAGAAATTTTAGGTTGAGTTTTTGTTTTTTTATTTTTTTTCCAAACCCTGACATGAGTAGACTGCCTAATGTAAGTTCCTAAAGGTTAATGTCGTAAAAACGTATATCATTGTTTTTTTTTTTTTTCAATAAATAATTCATAAAATCTAATGTGTATTATTATGTTCATAACAAAAAAAAACACATGCTATGTTTTAGGTATTTAAAAGACTGTTTGTTTAGCGTGAGCAAAATGCTGTATACGCGAGTGCTTGCGTAACATTTAAGGGCGCGAGTTCTGCCGGGTTAAAAAATACTCAAAAAAGGGCTCAAAATAATAGATTTTCTCACAAAAAAGGGAACTTGAAAAAAAAAGGAAAAAAGTCTGATCGACGACAGAACGCGAACCAAGGCATTACGATTTCGCGACCGTTCGATATCCACTTGAGCTATTACGATCATTAACACAGTGTCAAAATTTACCTTCTTATATTGTAGCAGTTTTTCATTGCCTGAAAACACGGACAAAAAGACATTTTCTAAAAATAAATCTTAGCTAGATCGATTTATTGCCCCCGAAACTCCCTGGACACTAAATTTTATGAAAATCGTTGGAGCCGTTTCCGAGATTCCGATTACATATATATACAGTGTGTAAATGTAAACACCGTTGTCACTGAAACCATAGGTGGTTGGCTTTAATATAAAAATATTTATCCGATTTTTAAAAAAAAACGCTATTTTCTTTTATAAAATTAAAAAAGTTTCTGTCCGACACCGTCCGTAAATTCATGGATACCCTATGCGCTCGAGTGACGTAATCACTGTAAAGACCACCGCCCGCCCTTGCTACCTACACAACATTTCAATATAAACACAATGTAAATATATCATGACTTTTCCATTTTCCCTTGTTAGAACAGATAAATTCCTACCCTTTTTTAACGCCCGCCTTTCCTATTTAAACACATGTAATTTATGAAACTTTTCCATCATACTTTCACACTTGCTTAGAACAGATAAAAATTCCTACCCTTTGTGTTGCGTGACGAGTTCAAATCAATGTAAGTTAGATTTAACAACAAAGAAAATTAAACATTAATAAGTAGTAAATAGTAAATCATTAGGTAGGATTTTTGGCGTATTTACCGTATACCGTACCGCGGCCCTGGAACGCAAAGGGCATTTGAAGCATAAGCTGACCGTTCATTGTACGGAAAGATCATACAAAGCGAGGCCAAGACATAGGATTTGTACAGCTTGATGTGTAGCCTGATTGATTGGTTATTTACACTTACCTATTAAATAAAATCCTCGTAAATGAATTCCATTTTGATCAGCTTTTAAATTAATCGTAAAAGCTAGAAGCACAACAGTGTCATTTCTCTAAATACACTAAGAATTCGCCTTTTGAGTTCGGACGTATTACGGAACTTAGTTGCATACACTCGGCGCTTCACTTCTCCCCAAAGATAAAAGTCTAGCGGAGTAGGGTCGGTTAATCGCCCAGGAAACTCCTCAACCAGCATAGCCCTAATTTGCAGCTGAAAATGTGCAGGGGCACCGTCATGTTGGTAGTAGAGGTTTCTCAGTGAACGAAGAGGCACATTTCCACTGCACGTTTATGCAGGACATAATTACAAATTAAATACACTCGCACCAAAACTACAACCTAAAGCGACGTAGAATGTCGGCACTGCGCGGCGCGATTTTAAATCAAATTAACACGTACATTCCGGACATCAAATGAAAAGTGTGGATGGCGGATAAACTAGGTACGACTAACCGCAGATAAACGATATTTATACTTGGTATATATATACTTTATAATCACTTTCACAAACTGACAGTTACCCTTAACACCTTTACTTACTGGCGGTTACAAAACAACTGACTAATCTATCGTCACAGCGGCCTTTTATACAATTTTAATAATAACCTAATAATGAACATTAATATTCTTATTACTATAAATATTGCATCATAAATTATAAAATAACTGTCAATCAATATAGCAACGACTAAACAATAATAAAAATTGTTTATAAACATTTAATAACATTAATCTTAGGTTCGCCGGAAGATGACAAGCGGAAGGCGGCAGTTAATTATGCGACGAGCTCGTGAACCCAGGACCGGAAGACGATAACACTCGGCCATCCTGCGTTTGCCGTGTCCCACGGCGATCAGCATGGTCCTGGTTTCTCGTTGGAGTACGGCATCTGAAATTTGAATAGTACCAACAGTATGCTTGTCGTTGTGAGTTCATGCAATATGTTTGTATTTGTATGTCTTTATACATTAATAATTCTGTTTATCTGTCATACTTCATTTTGCTTGTACTTTTACTTGTACACACAGCCTTTATTAATGTATAGGATCACACAGTTTTTAATATGTTGTCACACATCATTTATTATGGGAGCACACAGCTTTTATTATAGTATCACACAGCCTTGATTAGGATCACTCAGCTTTTATTATGGGGTCACACAGCTTTTATTTACTATAGGGTCACACAGCTTCCCCCCCGAACGGGTTCCCGCCTTGTCGTGGCGGGGGGCTTAGAAGCCGTGGCTTGGTCACCCACGGCGAAACAAAGAGGAACCCCTATGGCTGGTCCGAGGTGGAAGGCCGGCCCGAGGTGGCCACTCCGAGTGGGCTTGGGAAGCCCACTTCGGATGTGTGTTGGTGGACTGCGGTGAGAGGTGTGTCCTCCCCACCTACCGCTGCAGCCGAGGTGGAGTCGCGGAGGAAGAGGAGTATTGGTATGGCGATGCGCCACTCGCCCTATCCTCCGCGACTCAAACGGGGCCGCACCGTTGATGCGGTGGTGATGGGGCTGCGGGGGGAGAGGATTGTCGGTATTGCGAGGCGCCGCTCTCCCTATCTTCCGCAGCCGAATCTTGGTTGGCGGCGGAGCCATAGACCAGATCCGCCGCTGGGGTCGGGAAGGCTAGTACTTCTAAGTGCTCGTTTTTCCTGACCCCATGGCCTTCGCGCATCGGACGCGGGGGCGTCTGTTGCGCAGATGTAATTGGAGGCCATGGAGGAAGGCGTGCCATGTGTTCTGGTGCGCCTTACTTGGGAAGGAGAACGGGGAGGAATATTCCTCTCCCGATGAGGTGCTGCCATGGGGCGGCAGTCGCTGATGGGGCCGCGGATGTGTGCGAAAGCGTTCCCGTAGCCCTGCCATTATGCGACGAAGGTGGAACACCATGGGGTTTTAGTCGGTGCGAGTCCGACATAACCCGTCCTTGCCCCCGCGAGGCGGGTACGCGTAGGCATTTCCCCATGTTAAAAAAAAAAAAGGGTCACACAGCTTTTGTCACAAGTTCACACAGTTTTATTTGTACAGGATCACACAGCTTTTGTTTATATAGGATCACACAGCTTTTATTTACTATAGGGTCACACACAGCTTTTGTTATAAGTTCACACAGCTTTTATTATGGGGGTCACACAGCTTTTATTTTATGTA